TCCTCAGAACTCACTTGGAAAAGGTTTTAATTTTGTAATTTTATTCTGAAATTTTGAATTTCTGTGTTTTCGCTCCAAAGACGCTCATTTTGACTTTCAGCCTACATTTTCCACTCGGAAAATCCTTGACTGTCATTGGTTGATGGATCATTTTAGTTTGCTATTTTTGGCTCATGACTTCTCCCTCTAATTAGTGGGACCTGGGAAGATTGGATTAGAATAGCCTATCGCGTCACTGTAGCGTTTATTTTCTTTCCGTTTAACGAGTAAGGTGGACTCGTAATAGCTGCAAGCATATCACCATGTCAATTACAATTTTCCTCGTTTGATAAATATCATTTGGTACAACTAGACGCAAGTCCATAGTAAAAATAAGTAAACAAATACCACTGTTGGATGCCGGCTCAGTGACATAGAGGTTAAGCGTTCACACTCAAGACTAAAGGTTCTGGGTTTGATTTCCGCGACTAGCGAGCGTTCTCAATGCGCACTGCTGAAGAATCCCATACTAGGACAAAACGGCTTCCAAATTTATAATGATGGTCTAACATTGATTGATGCACGATTTCGAAGTACCGCCACTGTTTCAAAATAGGCTCTATTTTTAACTTCGATTTATTTACCGAGATGAAAAAATTAATTGAAGATCAGGTTGAACAAATTCAAAATACCATTAAGATCTATATTGTACTAGACAGTTTGTTTTTCACATTACTACAGAGCTTTCTAACCCTGTAGATCCATGACCCTACTGGGAATCTAACCAAGGAGCTTCACTTCTCCTCACATACCTCATAATTTTAAACCATTAGTTAAAATTAATCAATCAACATTTACTATCTCGATTGATTCACAATATGGAGCGACGACCATATAATACCATTTGGATAAGACTATCTAGATCTGTGCAACAATTTTAATTCAGGCTTGTGTGACCAATATTGTCTACAAGTCTCCACAAAACACAGTCAAACTATATGTATATTTCTTATTTTAGTGAATATTTTTTAAAATCAATTAACTTTCAGAACATATAATATTTAGCTAGTAATGGGTTATGGAACACGTCTTATTTAGCACTCGTGTGCTGTATGTTTGTGCATGTCAGCATTGATGTTTACGACGAGACTCGAATTAAATAGCTTTCACTTCAAACACAAACATTCATTCTAGACTTTGCAGTTAACCAGTTACCAAGTACAGTAACTTTTTTAGCCAAAGATAACAATTTAAGATAGTCCACACAGTATGCACTGTCCTGAATATCAATAACGGGATATTTTTCTTTTATTGACTAATCTAGAACCAAAAAGATTTTGGTTCATACGAGGAAAAACTAACAGCTGAAGACCTACATATATGTAGAGTAATCCAAACAATGGAGTACAATTAGCTATCCTATGACAACCAATAATAATAATAATAAATAAACTTTAACTCTTCCTTTCTATCTGTCATTTATAATGTGAATAACAACAATTGTGTTCACTTGCTCTAATCAATTGGTTTCTTTTTCCCTGAATATATATATGATGAATAATCAGATTCATTCAGAACAATAACAGAAACTTATTTTTTTGCATTTTTTCATTCTATTCACATGCTGTGTGACATTATTTGGCACAGGTTGTTTGTTAAATTATCTGATTACATTAAAAATCCCTTTTTTCCCTCATATCAGATTCATTTAAGCATTGATACACCTGTTATCTTAACATATTACAATTAATATCACTTTCTACATTGTTAATATGATTGGATGATTTGTCTAGTTTACAGATAATCAGTGAAGTTTGTATTTATATTCGATAATTTTGATTTTACATTGGAATTGTGAATCAATCATTGTTAGATCACCATGAGAAACCTGGAAGCACTGAACCGTGGTTTCGGTACGGGAGACTTCAGCAGTGCGCATCCACGACTCTCGCAAGCGGGAATCGAACTCAGGACCTTCGGTCTCGCGCGCAAACGCTTAACCTCTAGGTCAATGAGCCGTCATCCGACGTTGTTCATGCCTGACTTTGATCAGTCTAAAGATTTTACACAACCTCACCCAATTTCGATGTTTGATTATATTTCCTTGGAAAAGCTTAGACCAGATCGCCTAACAAAACGTTGTGTTTACTTAACGTTCATTCGCTGAGACTAAGGATTAACTGGTTGCCTAACTACTGTGAGCCTATTTCGACGATAGTTCTCGTAACCTAGAGATTGTTTCAAATTTTTCATGCGTTACTGTATCAAGTTTTTGGTTCAGTTTATCTCTCTCTGGAAAGGTAACATAATTTGTTTGTAATCTAAATGATCTTGGTTATTTCAGTTTTGTTTATGTATGCTACTATCATAGATTACATGGGCGAATTTTAAGCATCTGTCTGTTTGTGCATATGATAGTCGTAGCCAGAATAGTAATATGAGTTTTCGCCTATTAATTAGCTTCATAACTTAATCAACAATATATGTGACGTGACCAGTGGAAGTTAACATTGTCGGGTGTAGCCAGTTAACTACCGAAGACAATGGGTGGAGTGGCACAAAAATCCTTAAATTCAGCAGAGTTTGACATTAACACTTTTGGATGCCGGCACAGAGGTTCGGCATTGGCGCACAAGACGTAAGGTTCTGGGTTCGAATCCTGTGCTTTGAGGCAGGAGTCGTGGATGCGCACTGCTGGTGAGGACGAAACGGCCTTCCAATGCATACAAATTTCTAGTGGTGGTCTAAAATTGATCGATTCTTGATTTCGATGTGAAATAATATATGTAATTGAGTGTGTATCAAAATGTCCTGTGCTTTTTTAGGTAGTCAGTAAGAAAACAAGACATCCAATTTGTAGCCATCAATAAACATAGCGTAACGTTTGTTTTCATTACTGATCTTTGTGCCAAATGAACAATGTTTATTTTTACTCTATGGAACCCTCACTCTCTCTCACACTCATTATAACTGTTGCTGCACACATTTTTTAAACTGACATTTCAACACATTGAAGAAACACAATGGTGTCAAAAAAGAAAGAATTGATTTTGTTTTGCTTTGTTTTCAATATTATGATGTAATATGAGCACTAGTTGTTGTGAAATTCTCCATTTTGTTTATGTGGCCAATGGTGTGAATGAGTCCGAGATGTCTTATTTCTTTCTCTGTGATAGATATCAATTTGTTACACTGTTATATTAAACTTATACACATTTGTATGGCGTTTGACGATATGGTTGTTGGTAATTGGTGATTTTAAAGTTTGTAAAAATTACTAAAAAGAATGTTGGCCAAATCATTTGACGATGTGTAAAATTGCTATGACCTTAGCCAAATGATATTAAACTATTGTAGTTATAATCTTCAGTTGAATCGTATAAAGACTACTTGTCATGACAGTTCAAAAAATACTAAACACAAAGGTAAACATTATTAGAAATCATTTGAAATAATAGGATTGTGGAAACTGTTGAGTTACTTTGAAAATAATCTACACAACCTTTTAATGCAAATTATCGTGTGCCCACTAGTGTATAGCTTTGTGAGGAAGTTTCTCTGAGTTCTAGTAAGAAGTCGTAACCAGTGGAGTTCAACCCTGTTCGGGTGTAATGCAGTGCTCATCGAAGACAGTGGATGAGGCTATACATTATACATCAACACATTTAGATGCCGGCTCAGTTTTTAAGCGTTTACGCGCATGACCACAGGTCCTAGGCTCGAATCCTGCAGGTAGCGAGAGTTGTGGATATTGAAGAGTCCCATACTAGAACGAAACGACTGTCCAGTGCTTCCTGGTTTCTGGTGGTAGTCTAACAATGATTGATTCATTATTTCGAAATATTTGAGAGGGGAATATAAATTTTTAGATTAAAAATAATTCGACATTCAAGACATCGATTACATTAACTGAAAAATATTTATTTATTCTCTTACATAAGGCAACTTACACTCATGAGAATATTACATCTTCTATCATACTTTGTTTTTGTAGGCAAAAAATAAATTTTGTTTTTTTTTCTAAACGAAAACATATTTTTAAAACTTCATCTTACGTGTAATCGAATATGCTTCGCTTGAAAGTAATTAAACACAGACTGAGTTCATCATTTTCAATTATATTTCACTATGATACAAAAAAATCATTTTCGTCGTAAACTGATTTCATTTACTAATTTTCCTGACAATCACTGTGCACTAAAGTACTCTTTTCCTCTCGTCTAGTGTTCTTTTTCATTGGATAGTGTTGTTAACCCCCCATACCCAGCCTTTCTTTTTCCGGGCTTAGGACTAGTCGTCATGCCCACTTTTGACTTCATTCTTAATCCAATCCTTACAAAACTTAGATTTAGAAAGTTCAAAAGTGTTAACGTACGTACATCAGTTCAAGTTGCCGTACCGCATTAGGACGAAGACGCAACTGTCAGTTAAAATCTTGTAGTAGTGGACATAGTTGAAGAATAACTGGTAATGGAGAAGATTAGGAATCGATGATATTATTCAAGAAGTATAGTTCAGTGAAACAAGTTTAGAAAGTGAAAGATAAAGATGATGAGGAATTCAGAAGATTAGAATCTGAGAGAACTCAAAGAACGGATACATCTGCGCCGTTGCAAAAAATTTGAGCCATGTCATTCAAGTTCTCTAACCATCGGTTACTATCGTCTTGCGGACCCCAACCAGGTAGCCTACATCTACCAATATGACTCAGTCCACTTGTCAGTGACTTCATGGATTTGTACCATGTTTTGATTTGGCCACCCTTAGCTTTTGTCTAACCTACTTACGTCGATCCCTATAAAATTCAGACTCCTGTGTTGCTCACGATCACACACTATTGTATCACAAATCAATGTCTGTTCACCAAGTCCTTTTTAACGAAGATTATTATCATTTTAAACATACAATCAGTCAATGCAACTTCCAATTTCTCAATCATAATCTTGATAATCTTAACAAATTTTGTTCTGTTTCAAATTTTTCACTCTGTGTTTCTTTTTTTTTGATACTTTATTTTCTAGATGCTTTGTCTGTGATTAATCGATTTCTGGATGATTCCACATTTGTCACCAATTATCTAAATGTTAATACTGATAAGAATAATCATCCTGATAAAGATTTTATATTTTTGCATAACTATTTGAAACGTTCATCAATACGTCATTGCCTCAATGTGAGTAATAGTATCATCGTCATTTTGTATCTGTCCTATTTTTGTTTTGATAAAAATTCGATAATATCTTCTCTGATGGACAATGACTTCAATAAGGCGATTATAAAAGCACTAAATACTGCTGAATAAACTATAGTGTCCTAACTCACTAGGACTCTGGAATCTAGTACCATAGATGTGTGCTGCATCTTCGAAACGCGCATACACGATCCGAGGAAAATCATTCATTTGATTTCACCTTGTTCAAATAAAGAACCAACTTGGTTTACACTTCGTGTATATGGGAGCGCTGCCACTGCCTCCCCTGGCCTCGCTGGTGTATTTATAGTATTGCCATAAGGCATCGATGGATAGGCTCCTTTGAAGACTGCCGCTCATTCTGAAGCACTTGTTTAGATTCAGACCATGCTCTAGTGGGAGTGCGTATTTGTTTGAGGCTCACTGTACGTAGAAAAGATGCCGCTAGGAAACCTCTTAGGTTTCCACTTAACGATAGCATAGCTAAAAATACATTTCAGGAACAACTAGAAAAACAGTTAGGCAGTCATGTAGTAAGTGATGCCTACCCTGAGGCAGCTTGTAATGATATCAAAAAAGCTGTGAAAACAGCAGTGATATCTGCTAGTAAGATAAACCATAAGGCTAGGGAAAGATAGGCATTCACTCAATCACAGTCAACCTTAAGTCCAGAACAAATGTGAGTTGCCCTAAGTTTTAATACTACATAAACAGGATGAGATGATTAACAAATGAATTGATTATATGCTTTGGCAGTAGACAATTATAAAAACTAAAAATTAAGGATCTAATTCGAGAGTAAGATAAAGATTAAATAGATTTATTCTATTGTGTGTTTGATTATGATCCATGTCACCCATTGTCTGCAACCTGTGATTGTGGTTATCGTGAGAATTGGTTGGTGCATGTCAACCTGTCTCTGTCTAATAGTAAATGACTTCATGAACTAATATCAACTATGCGCACCCACGAACGTCCTGCTAGAAAGCCTGTTATCAGTCAGTCAGTGACAACGTAGGTTGCCAGAAAGCCAGTTATGATGAGTGGTGTCCAAGATCTGAACGTGATATACGTTAATCTTCCTTCAGACTAACATTCTGAGTGAGAAATAAAAAGTGGAATAATATATGTAAATACTCACTTATATATGTACATTCCTTCCCCTTAGAAAAATTAAATCCTTTTTCTTTTTTTCAATGATATTCACCCGTTCTTTCGTATATTATTTCTGATTGTTATCAAATAATCTTCTCGTCTGGCCTTTTTCTGATTCATCACATTCAGTTGGAACTGGGTGATTTTTATTTATATTTTCGATTAATTCATAGTTTTTACATACTAACTTACTTCGCTGACCAGCATTCTTCAGCCTATTCTGTCCTCGGCCTTCCTTTACAGTTCTACCCAATCGCTATTTATTCTTCTCATATCTGTTTCTATCCTAGACGTGAGGTGTTCTTTGCTCTTTATCTTTTCCGTTGACCTTGAGGATTCTAAGTGAGGGATTTTCTTGTGATGCAGTTGGGTGGTGGTTTCTTCAAGGTGTGTCCTATCCACTTCCAGAGCTTCTTCCTGACTTCTTCATCTGCTAGAATCTGGTTTGTCCTTTCTCACAGTAGCATTGCGCAAGAATTATACATTCCCATCAATGATATCTGTCTAATTGGCTGCGATTACAAGTATGAAATACTCGATTCACGAGTTTTGATACTTTTCAATAATTAAAATGCAATACAATTGTCTAAATTTTAAGTCCAGCCAGATTTTAGTAATCGCAGTCCAGTACCTTCTAGTTTGTATGAGTTCATGATGGAAAATATAGAATTAAGGAAATATTCAAAAAAAGCAGTTTAACTGAACAATTTATTTATTGTAATTGATAATTCATAGACGTTTGAATTGATCGATATGAGATTCGGATTTCATTGTAAACATCAATTTTCGTTTGCTAGTATATCGAATGGACACGAACCACACAACGTGAAATGCACATCTTGGAATCCACTGCTTGTCACAATCCTTATGTTACATGACTCCTGATACTCGCAGGAATCGAACCCGGGACCTGCGGTTTTGCGCGCGAACGCTTAACCTCTGGACCACTGAGCTGGTTTTTAACGGTGTTAATGTCTAACTGCGATCAGTCCACGGTCTTGCGGAGCCTCATCCACTGTCTTCGGTGAGAAGCACTGCCTCACACCCTAACAGGTTGAGCTCCACTGATCCCGACTTCTCACTAAAACTTAGAGAAATATCTTCACGAAGCTAGTCATTAGTGATCGCGTGATAGTTTTCATCAAAGGTCATTGGAGATTGTTTGTGGTTTAACATTCATCTATTCATGACTATAAACTATCTCAACATTCTTTACAAGCCTATAATGCAAATTTATATGTGTATAAATGTGTATGTTTATTTTCATTTTAATTGTCATCTAGTTAATTGACTGTGTTGGTGATAACAACTCAAAGTCAATTATTGAACGATTAAGACCTTCTCATCAATTATTAAGAGATAGTTTAAAAGTTTTATCAGAATTATGGTCTGATTTAGAAGAATTTGTTATGCGTACACGAGAAAAAGATCAACCAGATGCACATGAACTTTACGATCTATTGGCTGATATTCATATTAGAGTAAGTTTTATTCGTGTGCTGTTTTTTTTGTTCTTACATTCGGTTTTTGTATCAGGCTAGTTGACACATCCAAGATCTGGAATGGAAAGAAAGGAGTCAACAGAAAACCTTTTATTTCATGCTGGTTTACGCCCACCAATAAAGTGTTTGATGAATTGAAACTGTAAAGCTGAGTGTTGACTTTTCTCGACGTTACCATTGGGGCTACTGTTTGACTGAACTATTAGTTCTTTGGTTGTTAGATAGATCATAAACCAGTACAAAATTTAAGTCCTCCTGAATGTTTAATCGACTACTCTCAATGATGTAGCTCAGTTGATGCATTAAAATTTGATGAATGTACGATGCAATTCAATATATTTGTAATGTGCACTAATGCGTCAAGCTAACACAACTTATCCTAGCTATTGAGTAGACTAATTAACCTATTTTTCTTCTCGAGTCATTATTGCCACGTTGTTGACCTTGTCAACTATTTGCTCATGACCTTGACTGTTTTTTCCTGTGTGTGTGTGTACGTGCATTGCTTACCTTCGCTTATGACAGCATAGTAAGCATTTTTTTATCTGGCTATGAATTGTAGTCGGTCATTGCTTACCCAGTGATGTTGGTTCACTCGCCTTATCCGTCTGCATCCAGATTACTGTTCCCATTCTTATGTATGTTTGTATAGGAGAGTGGATGAAATAAATTTTATTGTTGGAACAGAATTGGAATCATCTTCCCGCTCACTAAATAATCAAAAAATTACATAAAATCTATTAATCCACTGCTTGATTAGACAAAATAGTTTTTTTTGCAATCACGTTTATTATTATGTCGATTGTTACTACTTTTTCAATGAAATTATATTGTGTTCATTGATATTAATGTATATATTCTTTTTTTCTGAATTACTTCAATCTTGTAATATGATTGTAGGAACTTCTGGTAGCTTACGATGATATTGCTAATTGTCGATATGTGAATGAAGATTTCAATTTGACTATTATTCCTTTCGAGGTAAGTTTTATTATGAATTGTATATAAATGAATCCGAATTTACTTCATTGGGATATGTGTCAATAATGCCCAACTATCGACTACCTCGACGAGCGATTTTGTCTGATGTAGAGGTGGTCAAACTGAAACATTGCAAAAATCCATTAAGTCATTGACAACCGGACAAAGGCATGGTAATAGGTGTAGACTATCAGGTTCGCGTCCGCGATATGGTAGTAACCGACGATTAGAGACCTTGAATGACATGGCTAAAAATTGTTTGTAATGGCGCAAGTGCATTTGTTCTCTGTCTTCTCTCAGGTTCTAATCTTCTGAATCCCCCATAACCTTCTCAGATGATATCTTCGTTCAATAATCTTTTTGATAACCGCCAGTATTTCTACTACCTCTACTTCTAAGGGGTCTGAATTGGCAATTCGATCTCGCTGTGCTAAGGTAGTATGATAATTTGAACTGATGTACATACGTTCGATGTTCTCCGTTGTAGCTAACTGACTTACTAATCTGTCTAATTTACTTCATACTCTCATCTCATTCTAATTTTTTTTTTCTATTTTTGTTTTAAAATAGGAGAATTTCGAATACAATCTTTCCAATTCACGAAACTCTTCAAAAATCGATATAGGTGTGTCAGAAAATGCAGAACATCACAAATTATTCAACCGAACTGATGAAATCCACTCTGTGAATAATGCTCACTTGAAAACTTTGCACCATCCTAATCCGCCTCATCAGCATCCTCTTCAACACAAACCGGAATTATTTGAAAGTTCCATGGAATCTTTAGACTATAAATTAAATCATACAATCAAATCAAATAGAAATTCTTATCATGATGATGATGATGATGATGATGATCAAAATGATGTATTTGTTAAAAAGTCTACTGACCAGTTTAAAACTCATTCAATTCCAAATGTTTATAATGTAAATAAATCGAATGTCTCAGCTAATATTGAAGATAATCATAGTAATAATAGTAATAGTAATAATAATAATGATGTTGAAAGTGCTCCTCAATATGAGAATAAATTGAATTACACAACCGATGACCAAAAACATCAACTTGATCATTCACGTCGATCTGTTTCCGCTATAATTAATCAATTTGAAGCATCCATTGAAGAAAATCAATCAATCAGTTATTCTAAGAATCACAATGTTATACATAGATCATCTGTTACAGAACGTTTAGATCGAATACAATCGTCTTCTATACTTAGTGATATACAAGTTAGTCACAGTGTTTTGTTTTGTTGTTTTGTTCTGTTCTTGTTTGAGTTATTTAATCTTTTTTTGAGAATAATTATTGTAATTTTATTGATAGATGTATCATTTGTGGCGAGTTTAGTCATAAGCTGAGATCCAACAGCTAAAGAATTTTACTTCCAACCACTGATTGACAGATTCAACCCCTCTCCCCACATACATTGGTTATGAATAGCCAGAATAGCATGAATGAACTACCTACACTCACACAGATATACAATGAAATGTGATTCAAATCTGAGTAGATAAACATTTACGTACTGGTTGAAGTTTGTTTTACGGAAAGATTGCTAAGAATTCTAGAAAGCAGCTGATAGTGTAGTCATCATCTGAATGAATAAATACCGAATCTGTGACCAATCTTGTTATATTTGCTAGAGGTTTCTAGGTACTTCAGGATTACTTCTGACATTATAAATACCCTATTTTCTGAACATCAGCAAACCTTCGAATCAGTTTTCCCTATACTTTCTGCCTTTCATATTCTGTTCAGGGTTCGAGCCTAAGAGACTCATGACTTTTAAAAAGGAATCGGGTGCTAGGTAAGAATGGCTGATCAATAGATGAAGCATTGAAACTTCATCAGTTGAGGTGGTTGGGACATGTGTTACGTATGCCTAACCACCGACTGCCTCGACGAGCTTTGTTTTGTAGTGTAGGAATAGGTTGGAAGAAAGTTAGGGGCGGCCAAACCAAAACATGGCATAAATCCATGAAGTCATTGACGAGTGGACTTAGCCATGTCGGTAGTTGTCGACTACCTGGTTGGGGTCCGCGAGATGATAATAATCGATGGTTAGAGACCTTGAATGACATGGCTCAAAATCGTTAGCAATGGCGCCAGGTGCATTTATTCTTTGTGTTCTCTCAAATCCTAATCTTCTGGATTCTTCAACACCTCTATTTTTGACTTTCTAAACTTATCTCACTTGAATCATACTTCTTGAATAGTAATCTTCTAATCCTAACCTCTCCGATTACTTCTAATTACCCTTACTACCTCTTCTACTATTGTAATTTGAATTGACGAATTACATTCTCTGTGCTTGATGTGGTATGGCGACAAGAACTGATGTACTTACGTACGAAGTTCTACGTTGCAACTGACTGACTGACTTTTAAAAAGCGTTTAGGATGTTGGATGTTTATGAGGTTAGAAGTTAGAAGTCTACCATTACTTGAGATACATTTTAGTTCATCCATGTCTAGAGTGTTAAACATCAGACTCCAGTTAATCATATAATCTTTGTTTAAAAATGTATTTTCAAGTTAATCAATATGTCGATGGCTTCTGGTATTTTCTGGCATTTTTTCATCGAAATATACTGTCCTTTAATAATAGGCCTGACTTTTTCTTCATACGTAACAGTAAATTTATAAACTATTCAACAACGACAAACAGTATTCAGCTTCTTGATCCATAGACGCGGTTGGTAATTTTTTATAATAGATGGATACGTGTGCCCCGAGTTTTTGTTATTTAGCAAGTGATCCACAAATTGCTCATACATCACAAGTAACGATTACTATAAGTTACTTGTACTATGTAGAACTGTCCTCTTAATATGGGTCGTTTTGTGTAACTTAGTAACCAACATTGTTTAACTTCTGTTTTAGGTGAGTGTAAGTAGTTCTCACTCCCTGGTCGCTCATGCTATAAGAGGACGTTTCTTAAGAGATTGAGGAAAAAAAGGATTAGTACGTGCGTTTGAAGTCCTAGGATCATGACTGTGGAGCCCAAAAGACAGTTGCTTGTGCCTAGTCTTTTATCATATATTATCCTCGTACTGATCTCGTCAAACGCCACTACAGCTATGAAAATACAGGATTAATAAGAATGCTGGTTATCCATAAGAAAAACTTTAAAGATCCTGGATTTCGTTAACTTCGGTCTCACCGTTATCTAACCAACATATATGATTATTCTTCACGGAGTATCGCATAATTTGACATGAATCAGTAGTAACTAAGTGCAAGTTAATCGCAGTCAGTCAGTCAACCCCAACGTAGAACTTAACACGTACATACATCAGTTTGAGTTCCCATACCACATTAACACAGACGGATAAATTTTTCAGTTCAAATACAATTGTAGTTATGGTTGTAGCAGCATTAGAAGTACTGGAAAAGTATTTAAACGAAATATCTATACTGCAATAATAATGAAAATCTATATAACTTTTTTAAATGAGGCATATGTTTTCAGAATACAAGTTTTTGACTAAGTCACCTCTTACCATCTGTTTGTCGCATAGTATATTTACTAAATACGATATTATAGAGAATGTTAAACTGTTGCCTGTGTACATGAATTCCAATGTATTGGCGTCTTATTCAACCAGATGATATACGAGGCGGAAAATGTGTATGCAATACATGATTTGTATCTGATAAGATTAACACTTGCCAAGAGGTCTACAAGCATTTAAAATGTCTATCCATCACCATATTCATAATGACATCGAAAGATTCACTACAAACCTTGCTAAATCACCTTCAGCATTCTTCACAACATGGCAAAAAAGAATAGGACAGGGAATAGTAATAAATAATAGGTCATATGCTAGAGTTTACAAAGTATAAAAGTCAATATTGATTAATGTGTTAGGATATTCATCCAATATCCTAAGAGAATTATTGGTCAAATCCTATTGGTCGATTTCTATTGGTCAAAATTATGGTCGTTTTAACTGTCAATGCCACAGAATTCGATGCTGTTTCCTATTCGACCAAAATGTATAAATACGCATTATCTGTAACATTTTATGACCACGACCAGGACCAGGGCTCGGTCCCGGATCCTTAGTCCGGGATCCTGATTCTCTTCTGGATTCGGACCTCGTACTTTCTGGATGCTTGTAGTATACAGGTTCTACTTCACATCACGTCTTCTTATTTTTAATAAATATGGGGGTTGGGATAATAGGATTTGAGTAGCATGTCGTGTCGCCGGATCCTCGATCCTCGCTCTCGTTTTTCTGACTAGGTAAACTCGTAATAGTTCAAGTATATCAAGTTGACGTGTTTACGTGCAGGCGTAACATAATGCCAAAACAACCTTTTCAGATACTATTTACATTATTTGGCTTGAGTATACTAACTTACATTCTTCTTGATCACCTAATTTCGTTCATGTAACTAAATACTATTTGAAATCTCTTAATATATTAATTTTTGAAGTTGTAAGCTCTTCTACTTGGTTACACTAGTCGAATATAAAACGTCCTACTTATCGATTCATTTGTTTATAAAGTCAAACTTTCTCTCTGTGTATTTTTCTCATGACAATTTTGATTAGCTAAATGATAATTTATTATTGAATTATTGACTGGAGAAACGTAATTGTCAAAGCATTTCGGTTGTATATTCAAAACCCATTCTCTATGTTCTTTAATATGAGCAATGAAGTGTTAATTATTACTAACTCTCTTATCTCTATGAAGTCATTGACAATTGGACTGAATTACGTTCATAGATTTGGACTATCATGAGTGATGGTTAGCGACCTTGAATGACATGACTCGAAATTGTTCGCCTTGGTGCAGATGTATTCACTCCTTGTTTTCCCCTAAGTAGTAATCTTCGGAATTCTTCATGACTGTTTTTTTTTAAATTTATTCTGATTTTTCGATTTCTAATCTTTTCTATAACGAATAATACTGTTACTATGAAGTTTGAACTGACAGACTTGCTTCTCTCTGTGTTAGTGTGGTACGGCGAATTGAACTGATATACAAACTTACGTTGCATCTGACTGACTAACTAACTCTCTTATCTGAATGTTTAATTTAAAGTCGCGTACATGAACTTGTACTCAGTAAACTAGTTTCATTTTTAAATTATTGGGAAATTTCAGTTTCAATCCATATATTGTATCATGTTTTTTTCCCTTCTATTGTAGCCTACTTCTCCGAAACCTATCCCTGAAACTGTTGATGAACAGTCTACTAGGAGAAATTCTAAATCTTCATTGACAAAAGCACCATTGAATGATATCGATACTAAAATTCATTCCAATTCGAAAATCATTATTAATAATAGTCCTACATTATCGACAAAGAAATCATCCATAACAAAACAACAACAACAACAACATCACCATCAAAAAACTAAAAAATTTCATGCTTCAGACAATACTTTACGTTCATCCGATTCAAATAAACATCATTCTCATCATCATCATCATCTGTCGAAATCTTTACGAGGTTCATTCGACGGAACACAAAGTCTACCTAGAAATCATGGTCAAACATCGAAAGAATTAAAAGATACGCATTGTCATCAACATCAGCAGCATCGTGAAAGTGTTATTGATTTGAAATTCCCTCAACCAGGTGTACCAAGACTTGTACATTTAAGACGTGATTATCCAGGTGAAAATTTAGGTATCACTGTAGCATTGTGTACACCATCACCATCAACAACCACGGCGACAAGCACACCACCAACAAGTTTCAATGGAATTATTATACAATCAGTTAGTGAGCCAACTATATCAATTCAAAGAGTATTAGCTGGTTCATTAGCTGATAGACAAGGTGAGAGGATTGAATGTTTAAGTGTTTTGGCTAATTTTTTTTTACTCGTTTTTACTTTTTTTTTTTATAGAACTTCAAATTATTATTATTTGATAAATGAATTTGATTTGTGTATGGTACAATATTGGCTTTTGACTATCGATGTCTTCAAAGCAATACCGGTGTATATTAAAGTGATCAATGTTGTAGTTTAGACTTTTGAGCACTGGTTGAAAATGACAAATAGGTTGATGTGGTTGTCTGAACATGTACCCCGTGCTTCTACATCTTATATTCGCTTTGCTAATGTGGTATAGCAACCTGAACTGATGTACATGTGTACGAAGTTCTACGTTGTAACTGATTGACAATTTTCAGTTCAAATCCCATAGTGGTAGAGATACTAGAGTTAGGGAAGATTAGAGTTCTAAGATATTATTCAAGAAGCCTAGTTCAGTGAGATACGTTTAAAAGGAGGAAGATAGAAGTGATGAGGAATTCAGAAGATTAGAATTTCATAGAACACAACAAGTGGATGCACCTACGCCATTGTAAACGATTTTGAGCCATGTCGTTCAAGTTCTCTAACCACCGGTTAGTATCGTCTCGCGGACCCCAACCAGGTTGTCTGTATCTACCAACATGACTCGGTGCACTTGTCAGTGACCTCATAGATTTGTGCTATGTTTTAGTTTGGCCGCCTTTTAGGTTTCTTCCAACTAATTCCTGCATCACAAAACGGCACATGAGACCAAATTGGTCATAATCAATTCCTTCTTATGTTAGTTGATTCAGGTGTAAATTCGAAGAAAGCTACAGGCTAGCCAATTTAAACGTGACATGAATTCATGGAGTTACTGATTGTTGGTTTGATCTGTGTAAGTAGTTGTACTCTATCTGACTGAGATCTGTACATTAGCTACTGTCAATAGTTGTGGACGTCGGTTTTTTTATTTGCTCATGATTCTGTCTTAGTGATATGATACAACATTTTAAGCTAACCGCTTTATGCCAGCCTATACAATTTTTTAAAACTCAACTCAAAATAAAATCCAATATTTCTCATTTCTAAGTTTTAACACTTTTCTCATTCAATATTCATGATAATTATAACAGTGCTGTCTTATCTTTCAATCAAAATTTCTCATTACTACTGTAGAAATCCATTTTAAAGTTAGTCCTTAGTGTAAGTATGTGATTATGTTATCAAGGTATTAAAAAAAGTAGTTCATTTTATTTGAAGTTCTCATTAAAAGGTCTTCTGACAAATGAATCATCGTAAAACAATTAGGGAGCACTAACCACATACAAATTTTATGATTATGAGTTCCATTTCAATAGTTTCGTCCTATGGTGATACTCATCAGTCGTCTCATTGTTTTGCTAATTTGAATTAACGCATTTTAATGTATCTTCATACATTAAGTACAAATTTTTCTGTGTATCGTTTGTTTGTGGGCTTGAGTGACACAACCCGATTGCCAAAATTGAAGGGTTGGGGTGTATGTTTTTGAATCTCTCTTCAATATTTGGAGCTAACAAGCTACTGGTTAGCATTATTTTAGCGAGTTAGTTTTCTACTGGATTGGGTCGCTAACCCCATACCCAACCCTCCTCTTTTATCTGGGCTTGGCACCGGCAGTATCCCTAGAGGGGCTCCCAGCTACTACTTCATATCACTGAAATGTGAATCAATTATTGTTAGACAACCATTAGAAATCTGGGAGCATTAGACGGCCGTGACTGATCAGCAGTGCTCATCCACGACTCTTGTTACCTGCAGGATTCGAACCCACAACCTTCAATCTTGCACGTGAACGCCTAACCTCTAGACCACTGAACTGGGATCCAACAGTGGTAATGTCTAATTCTAATCAATCTAAGCATTTATCATCAGGAGTTGCTGCACACACCCGATAGGATTGAACTCTGCTGGTCACGTCTTCTTCATATACTTATCTCACTTAACTTTCACTGTTTTTTTTGCTCATTTCATTTAATCGAAATTTCTCTAAATATATTTCTTTTTTTTTACTGAAATACGTAACAAATTATTATGTGTGTACTACAGTTCTTATTGTTATTTTTTTTGCTTTTCAATCTATTTATAAGTGAATGTAAAGATTATTTTGTTTGTCGTTTGTTCTCAATTTCGGCTCGCCCCAGTTAATTTACCTGTACATAGGCGTACGCACACAGGCCAACACACACAAGCAATTATGTACTACTTTCAAAAATCATGTATGCCTATACTAGTCCACAGGTGGTTGGTTGGTTGGTTATTTAACGGAGAAAAAAAATTAATTTCAATGTTTTTTAGATAAGAATTTTGATCATATATATAATGAATAGTTTATTTTCTTTATTGAACTTTACCGCCTACTTAAGTGTTTGTGTGTGTGTGTATATATATATGTCCATCATCTGTATTCACTATGTGTACACATTGATTCAAACTTAGAGATGATTGTACTTTCTACTTATGCTAATGTATTTCCATGCGCATATATATTTATATTTGTCATTGCTCAATTGATAGAATGGATAATTATGTAATTAGTTTTTATTTGCCGGTTATTTCATTCAGTTTTACTTACTCAGAAGTTGTGTTTTGATCACTTGTGTGCTGTTACAGCTTAGGGCAAGGTTACTAATAGGTAAGGATGGCAGATCAATTGATGAAGTAGTGAATCTTTATCATTCGAAGTGGTTGGGACATGTGTTACATATGCCCACCCAGTGACTGCCTCAACGAGCGATGTTGTTTGATATAAACGGGTAGGCTCGAAGAAAGCTATGGACGGTCAAACCAAAACATGGCACAAATCCATGAAGTCACCGATAACTGGACTGAGCCATGTTAGTAGGTGTAGACTACTTGGTTGGGGTTCCGCGACATTGTTAGAGACCTTGAATGACATGGCTTAAAATCGTTCGCGATGACGCAGGTGCATCCATTATTTGTCTTCTCTCAAATTATAATCTTAGGTGTTCCTCATGACCGTTTTTTCGTTTTTTAAATTTATTTCACTGGGACATACTTATCAAATCATATCTTTGAACCCTAATCTTCTCCATTACTGTTAATACTGCTACCACCTCTACTACCATAGGATCTGAGTTGACAATTCGATCTCTATGTGCTAATATGGTATGTCACCTTGAACTGTTGTATGCACGTACAAAGTTCTACATTGTAGCTGACTGACTTTGATCACTTGTCGGGGAGACGTAAGTGTTCGAGCAGCTTTCAAACTGCGAAACATATCCCTACTTGACGTAATGATATTACGTACTTACTTACTTACTTACTTTCGCATGTTACCCCCAATGGAGCATAGGCCGCCCACCAGTTTTCTCCAACCAACTCTGTCCTGGGCTTCCCTCTCCAGTTCTGTCCAATGTTTGTTCATTCCTCTCATATCTTTCTCTATTTCTCGGCGTAATGTATTCTTTGGCCTTCCTCTTTTCCTTTTGCCTTGAGGGTTCCATGTGAGGGCTTGTCTAGTGACGCAGTTGGGTGCTTTTCGTAGTGTATGTCCTATCCACTTCCACCGCTTCTTCCTGATTTCCTCCTCCACTGGAATCTGACTAGTTCTCTCCCACAGTTCGTTGTTGCTGATGGTGTCTGGCCAACGAATACGAAGTATTTTGCGTAGACAGCTGTTAATAAACACTTGTATCTTCTGAATGATGGCTTTGGTAGTTCTCCATGTTTCCGCTCCATACAGTAGAACTGTCTTGACATTTGTATTGAAAATCCTGATTTTGGTTTTGTTTGAAAGTTGTTTGGAGTTCCAGATATTTTTCAACTGTAGAAATGCAGCCCTCGCTTTGCCAATCCGCGTCCTCACATCTGTGTCCGATCCACCTTTCTCGTCGATGATGCTGCCAAGATATGTAAAGGTGTTAACGTCCTCCAAGGCATCTCCATCAAGCGTGATTCGGTTGGTGCATGTTGTGTTGCATCGGAGAATTTTGCTTTTTCCTTTATGTATGTTGAGACCTACTGCTGCAGAGGCTGCTGCTACACTGGTCGTCTTCTCTTGCATTTGTTGTTGAGTGTGCGATAGAAGAGCCAGGTCATCTGCGAAGTCCAGATCGTCCAGCCGCGTCCTAACTGTCCAGTTGATACCGTGCTTCCCTCCAGATGTTGACGTCTTCATAATCCAGTCGATGACCAGGAGAAAGAGAAAGGGTGAGAGTAAGCAACCTTGCCTCACACCGGTCTTCACCTCGAAAGAGTCTGTCAGCTGACCTCCGTGCACGATTTTGCAGTTGAATCCATCTTAAGAATTCCGTATGATGTTGACTATTTTCTCAGGCACACCGTAGTGTCGAAGAAGCCTCCACAGTGTTTTCCTATCCACGTTATCAAATGCTTTCTCGTAGTCGATGAAGTTGATGTAGAGTGGTGAGTTCCATTCAATTGATTGTTCCACAATGATCCGTAATGTAGCGATTCGGTCAGTACACGATCGATCCTTACGAAATCCGGCCTGTTGATCTCGAAGTTGGGCGTCTACGAAGTCCTTCATTCTGTTTAACAATACTCTGTTGAAGACTTTGCCTGGTATTGAAAGAAGAGTGATGCCTCTGTAGTTCTCACACTTGCTCAGGTCGCCTTTCTTTGGTATTTTGATCAGGTATCCTTCTTTCCAATCCGATGGTACTTGTTCCTCATCCCAAATCTTCTTAAAGAGAATGTGAAATATTTTCGCAGTTGCTTCCACATCTGCTTTCATTGCCTCTGCTGGAATGTTGTCTGGTCCTGCTGCTTTGCCGCTCTTGATTTGTCTGATGGCCATACTGATCTCCTCAATCGTAGGTGCGCCAATATTAATTGGGAGGTCCTTGGATGCTGCTTCGATGTTTGGTGTGTTCAGTGGAGCTGGTCGATTCAATAGTTCCTTAAAGTGCTCCACCCACCTATTTCGCTGTTGTTCAGTGTTGCTGATTATTTTCCCTTCCTTGCTTTTCACTGGTCGTTCTGGTTTACGATAGTTCCCGGCGAGCTTCTT